CTGACAATTTCTTGACAGGAAAACCCAATACCTGATTTTGGCCCAAGCCGGGATTCTAACCTAAAGGATCTTACCACCACTAAACCAACATACTTTGTTGGTCAAAAATTTCTTCTTACGACACCCCCGGAGCAATATGGTGATGACTAAGTTACAAAAAATATATTTATGTACAGTACCGTATTGGTCCAGTGCCAGAAGTTCTTCCTCATCATACAGCCGCAGGGCTGACTCTTCGACGGAGTTTACCCGCGTCTGTAATATAAAATTGATGATTTGTAATCAAGGCTGGATGTTGGTGTCTAGTAAAATAATATTGTTAATCACAGTTGAAAAACTAATGTGGAATGCCTCGATTCCAGTAAAACGGGTCTCCGGTTCTCTACACTCTGCATACGTAACACAGCAACATTGCTGCTATTTTACGCTGGTATTCTGTGAACGTGATCCTTCCCCGGTTGAGCCGATTCGTTCATGCTGCTACCATAATATTGCTGCAGCGTGGCCACGTACAAAAGTTAAAAATGTAAAGTTACAGCCTATATACGTCCCACAGCTGGGCACAGGCCTCCCCTTATTTCTGAAAGGGTTTTAGGGCAAGGAAATGTCCGCCGCGCTACCCCAATACGTGTTGGCGAACTTCACATGTCTTCGAAATATTTTTTTCTCTTATTTCTCAGACGAGCAGGTTTCCTCATGATGTTTTCATTCACCGCCGAGCACGTGGTAAATCAGCACTTAAAATTGCAATTAACAATTTCATCGGTGCCGGTAGGGATCGAAGCCGGGTTACTCGCGTTCTGTTATATTAACAGCGAGCGTTAACCATCTGAGCTACCACGGCTCCCTGAGCAATTAACCACGTACAATCTCTTCATCAATTATGGTCAGATTTATATAAATCTTTATAAACACGGATGGATACATAGATAGATAAATAAATATTGAACTCTATATTGTACGTCATAAAATATAGAATAGAATAGAATCATTTTTATTCAAAATAGATTACATGTATTTCTTATTGAGAAATTTTTTACTTTTACCACTGTTTCCGAAAAACCTCTGTCCTGGGAAGAACCAGCAAGAAACCCAACGGGTCCTTAATTTATATAAAATTAATCTGCAATATAATATTTTATAAAATTGTTATGAAAATATTTAGTTAGGCAGTACAAAGTTATAGAAACAGCATGGAAGCTACTACCTCATTCCCATGGGTTATATCTTAATATATAATATATTATATATTAAGCTATATTTGCTTAATAAATATATGAACAAAAAAAGGAAATGTCGCTACGCTACAAGCGGAAGATATCGAAGCAAATCGCTTCAATTAAAAGAATAGCTTCGTTAGCCGCTCCTCAGTCCGCCGGGAGCTCTCCTCTTAACTTCTACCATGGAGGTTAGAGAACAGGAGAACGATCACTGCGTACTACAGCATAGCCCGCTTGTCCTTGGAAATTTGTAGAATGTATAGCGGCCCTGACGTCGGTAAGTAGTGACTGCGAAGTTAGCTGTTTATGAGTACAAGTAGATGAAGTTGGTTGAATAATGTACAGATTTCATTCGCGGCATTGGTGAGAAAATTTTCATGTTCCGTAATTTTTTAATTTTTGACAAAAAGAAACATTAAAAAATGGAGAAATATTTTATTGTGCGTGGATGTGCAAGTGATTGAGCATCTGATCGGAAAAATAGACTGAAAATGACTTTTATTGAACGAACTTAGTGATCGCAGCGCCTCACTTATGGTGTCCATATTTCCGGGACATTATTTTCTACGGCGATCGTTCTCCTGTTCTCTAACCTCCATGCCTTCTACGGTCACAGAGAAAAGAGAAATGGGTTACAATGGGCGTTCTCACTAAAATCGATTATTTCCGGACAACCTTTATAAAATAAGTTCAACTTAAGAGGTATATAAATTTAGAGAAATACTTTTACCGCTAAGACCATATGACTCAAATAGTTATGAACATAGAAGAGGGGAAGAAAAGCCGTGGACGACCACTAATAACCTGTCTGCAAAAAAAAAGCGACCTGAAATCTACTAACATGTCAGAAAGCACAACCCACAATCGCACGACGGGGCGCAAGATTACTAGGAAGGCTGACACCAATCGAAATAGAATAATAGCCAGGGGAAAAAAGAAAAAAGATTTCAATGTAGCTATTTGATGACATTCCAACTTTTTTTTATAGGATAGGGTGACAAACGAGCACACAGTTCACCAGATGGTAAGTGGTTGCTGCGGCCCGTAGACATCTACATTTTATCCTCGATTACGAATCAAAATGCAGATGCGTTGTCATCCGTGAGGACTAAGATGGAATGCCTCGTTTCCAGTAAAAAGGCTCTTTGGTTCTCTACACTCACCATATGAAACACAGCAGCGTTAAACTGCTATTTGACGCTGGTATTCCGTGAGAGCTTTTTATATTCCTTGTTCCAAAAATAATAAAATAATTTCCATATAATGGTTTCAGAAGTCGCGAGCGTTAATAGTTCTATACTCTAGTTTTAGTATCGACTTCGGAAAATATTATTAAGAAATTATTTTACTGTTTTTAGTTGTTTTAAGTAGACTTTTTTAATAAAAAAAATCGGCAAACGAGCTCGCAGCACACCTAATGGTAAGTAACTACCGTCGCACATGAACAACTCCAACATCTGAGAAATTGTAGGTGCGTTGCCAGCCTTTTACAATAGAGTAGGCTCTTTTCCTAAAGGTTCCTAAGTCGCATCGGTCTGGAAAAATTGCTGGTGTTAGTCGATTCCACATAGAAGTTGTGCGAGGAAAGTGTTTTTATTTTAAGTCTATCTCTGTATCTTAAGAATTATAATGAAATTGAGGAATTGTTCGTAAAGATCACTTAATCGCTCGTGTGTGAACACACACACACGCACGCACGCACGCACGCACGCACTCACGCACTCACACACACAGACACACACACACACACACACACACACACACACACACACACACAAACACACACACACACACACACACACACACACACACACACAGACGCAATTTGACCTTACATTAGAATTAGTACCGTATTATCACTTTTTAATTTCACTTTATTTTTTACTAACAAATTTCTTTATAATAGTAATATACTTACATTATAATACTAAGACAATAGATGGGGAAGTCTGAGGCCTGTAGCACAGTTTTTACTAACACAGACTTCAGAGCTCAAAAATAATTGTAACAATAATGTAATGTATGTTAATAAATTTCATTTCATTTCATCTACAAAGACCATCAGCTTTTCATTTCACCCTGCCATCCATTACGACACCCTCGGTACAATATGGAGTAGTGGCTACTCTGAAACCACCACTACGCGGCGATTCATTAAGTACCACTTAACTAACAATGAATAGAATATACCATACTCCCTGCCTCACCTCGTCAGTACTCAAGTGGTTGCTGGAGTCGATCTCCTCGGTGCGTCTGAGACGTACCCTCGACGCTAATTTGGCTTGTCTGGACTCGCAACGACCTGAAACAAAAACCTTATGTACATTAACTCATTTACAGCGTGGTAAGTTCAGAGAGTCCAGTTTTATTTCAGCAAAAGAATTAGGGTTCCACGCAAAAATGTTAAAACCCATGAAATACGATCTAAATAAATAATAAGCGAACAAAGCCGCGGGGAACAGCTAGTAGCAATTCTATGAATATATCATTGTGTATCTATGTTTGTAATTTGTATCTTAGTACGTAGATATAATTATGATGCATATATTATGTGAATATAGATATTTTGAATGCAGTTGTTTGCATTTTTTACTCATAATAACTTCTCTGTTTAGCCTCGAGGTCTAAACAGAGAAGTTATTGTTTACTCTCTGTTCTACTAGTCTAGTGAATGCCTTGTTGCATTTAGTTGTTATGTTTAACCGACTTCAAAAAAAGAGGAGGTTCTCAATTCAACTGTATTTCAGAGCTTTTCTCTGGGTGAACAGATTTTGATTATTCTCCTTTTTGATTTCTTAAATTTACGCGAACACTACACATTGAATAAAACTAAATTTACGGATTTTATCGCGTTTATTTCACTACTTTTACTTATTTTTAATTCCCGACGTTTCGGGTGCTTTACAGCAACCATGGTCACGGGGGGGACTGAGATGTTTGACGTCCCAATGTCATAGTTATCCGGCTACCTTCAGTTTTTGAATATTAATTTTTGGTCCGATTTACGCAAAACGAGCTTATAGTATACATGAAGTCTTGCAGTTATATATATAAGCTCGTTTTGCGTAAATCGGACCAAAAATTAATATTCAAAAACTGAAGGTAGCCACTAACTATGACATTGGGACGTCAAACATCTCAGTCCCCCCGTGACCATGGGCGCTGTAAAGCACCCGAAACGTCGGGAATTAAAAATAAGTAAAAGTAGTGAAATAAACGCGATAAAATCCGTAAATTTAGTTTTATTCAATATTCTCCTTTTTTATCCGAAAGCTGGTGCTTCTCGTGAGGCCTCATATAAATGTAATTAAGATCTGACCAGTAGTTTTTGAGTTATCGTTAATAATGCGTATTTAATTGACTTAGACAACATTGATGATGTTCTCATTTTATTTATATTGAAGTTGATTGTACAAATTTTTAATTTTACTACTTGTTTGTACTTTGTTTATCAATAAGGCCGTAATAAATAAACAAATACCACTTTGTATATTACCTGGGGACGGCGGCAGCAGACCTTCAGGCACCTCGCAGCTGTCCCCCAGTAGATGAGCAGCTCTCGCATATTGGCAACACCTGCAAGTCATACCAGCGTATTTAATCATAATCATCATCCCAGCCTATTAGTCCTATTGAACATAGGCCTCCTCTATATAATAATGTTACGTGCTTGGGGTTAGTGACCATAAAAACTGCCGATTGAAATACTAATAACATAACCCAATTGTACTACTGATCAATTTAGTTCACAGTTGTAGGTATGTATAAAAATTGAATGTATCTTGACGATCCATTGTAATATTATAGGTAAGCTTTAATAAATATGTATACATGTGTATGTATTATGTGTGTATGAATTCATGTATGTGTATGCGTACATGCAACATTTATGCATATATGAAAAATACCGTTGTCCTTTAAATTACTGCTAACTATTACTATTGCTTTGTGATATTAGAAATAGTATATTTGTATTAAGCTATTTATTTATTTTCTTTATTTTTTGCACGTTAGTAAGTAAGAGAGCAATTTTTTTTCTGCCAACAAATTGCTGAGCAGTTTGGCAGACTGTAAAACTGTAACTGTGTGAATTTTATGATGTTAAATAAAAAAATAAATAAAAATTTCCTCTGTCGCCTTCTAAGGTACCCACGGAATTTTCTCCCACTGACAATTTACAACATAAACTGTCACACAGCTGTGTATCGCGCAGGCGAGTAGCTGGCACAGTAAGTATGCCACGCAGTTGTAACTTTATATACGACAATAACCAATACGAGAAAAAGTTGTATACTTGTCTGAAATATTATTCAAATCACGTAAAGTTATACATTTGTCTGAAGTAAAATTCAACTCACGTTGACAAAATGCATACACATAAATAATAACAGCGTTTTCTTAGTCCAATTAAAAAAAATTGGTTGACCCTGCAGGCCATCCCTGGAACTTCCCGCTAATTTTTAAATGCAAAGCTCTCCGAATTTCACCAAATTATGTTGCGAAATCTCGAAGTTATGTTAAAAACAGTTTTTTTCAAATTCTTTCTCCTCCGATATCTCACGAACGAATGAACCTATTTTTATTTTCCAAACGGCGTTCGACGTCATTTTTGGAGGTTAAGAGCTGATAATTTTTTGAAATCGGTCGGTAAAGCCGTTCAAAAGGTTATTCCAAAAAAAAAACAGCTTTTTAAAATTTTTATTGAGATTTCTCAAAATCTACTCGTCCAAATCAGTTCATAAAAGTAAAGTAAAGTTACAGCATATATACGTCCCACTACTGGGCACAGGCCTCCCCTCATTTTCTGAGAGGGTTTTAGTGCAAGGAACGCCGCCCAACGGCGAACTTCACATGTCTTCGAAATAATTTTATTTTCTTATTCCTCAGACATGCAGGTTTCCTCACGATATTTTCCTTCACCGCCGAGCACATGGTTAATTAGCACTTAAAACTGCAATTAACAATTTCATTGGTGCCGGTCATATTATCACCAAATCTATTCCACATTGAGATCTTTAGAAAGCCGCAAACCGCATCTCAATCCACCAAGACGTTCAAAAGTTATGAAAGATATACTTAAACACACACACACATATATATATATATATATATATATATATATATATATATATATATATATATACTTACATCCGTACGGACGTCCATGTGAAATTAGTCAGAATAGCCTTCTGGGATCTCAAAACGTCGAGATCTGATGAAAACTCGATTTTCGAAAATCGGGGTGAAACCAATAACTTCCCTAAAAAATTCAATTTCAGAGTTGGATTGTCGAAAGCAACGTCCGCGTTTTACAAAACAGAGAACTAGTGTTCTGAGCCACTCGCAGTCGACAAATAAGTTATAGAGACTTAAGCTTAACTTAGCTCGTCTTGTAGAATGTATATGTCTGCGTGATAACATATAGGGATGTAAGTCTACATGTCCACTTGCCTGGCGGTGGTCACACATATCTCGGAGTCCCGTTCCGAATAATTGACGCTCGTGTCGCACGGATCACTCTGTTGGGGAGTTGACACTTCCACACGAGGTTGTTCCACCCTGAAATAAATGTAAAGATCTTGTTGATTTTTTCTTGTAAATTTTTTCATAGCATTGGGTGACAAACGAGCACACAGTCCACCTGATGGTAAGTGGATGCTGTGACCGATGAACATTCACATTTATCCTCAATTAAGAATCAAAATGCAAATGCCTTGCAATCACTGAGGACTATGATGGAATTCCTCTTTTCCAGTAAAACGGGACTTCGGTTCTCTACACTCACCACACGAAACACAGCAGTATTAAGCTGTTATTTGACGCTGGTATTCTGTGAGAAGGTATTCTTCTCCGGTCGAGTCGACCCATTCGTGCTACAACCATAATATAGCTGTAGCGTGGCTCTACTATATAAAATTTAACTATTAAATACTCGTAACGTTAGCAAACTTCCGTTGAACACTACAAAGTCACGAGTTTTTTAGACTACAAGTACACCATCATTACAGCCCTTCACAAGTCCACAGCTGTCGGTGGGCTTCTTCACAGATTGCCACATATGGCGATATTTGCCATAGTTGCTACGTTTGAAAGGCGGGTTAGCACCTGCAGCTTTTAATATTTAAAGATATTATGAGTAATACTCCCCCATAGATTGCCTCATAGTGTGCCTACTATGGCCTATTGGCTGCGGTTTATTTAGCCACAGTTGCTACTGCTGCGCGCCACAAATAACGCCTGGTACATGGCGACACTAGTTACCACTAGCGCCATCTAGTATCGAGTAGCAGAACTAGGAGAGTCAAGATTCTTCTAGAAATTTCCATGGAAGAACTTTCTAGAACTATTGACACCTAGTCAGTCGGGACCTGTATGTACTCGAACATTCTAGATGTTTCTACAGTAGAAGGTTCTGGAACCATCTGAGGCCCTATATGAGGCCGGTACAGACCGCGACCCGGGCAGTATTGAATTGGCAATACAAGCGAATACTTCGAAGCGACACAACTGCGAACTAAAGTATTCAGTAGTACAATTGTTTTTTGTTATTAGTGTGGTTTTAAGTTGTAATTAGTGTTCTGTAATTAAAGTGTCTATTTTGGTAATTCACGCGGCAGTTTTTGATTGCCTCGAACCCCAAGCACGTAAAACTATGTTTGGCAAGCGGTTTGGTAACCGCAGCTTTTTATTATTTTGAGTTGTTAATAGAAAGACGCTGTTGCCTACCACCAGGTTTGTTACTCTCTGTCGTCTGTTGAGGGTAGAAGCGCCTCAACCTTCTTTCAGTATATATCATAGTCACCGTACACGGGTCCGAATGGAGTGACGAATACTTTCACGCCACCACCACACAGCGATTCCTATAATTAACGCTGTAATAACCTTGCTTCGGAAGCTGTGGAGAGTACGTAAGGCAATACTGTATGCTTCGGAAGCTGTAAAGAGATCATAAGGAAATCCTTAGATAACGACATTTTGTACAATATTTATAGACGAAACAGAACCTTCTAAGAAATAATGGTTGTTCGCACATAATTCAGTCTTCATAACGCGGATAGGAGAAATTTTTATAAATTCTCCTATAATTCTAAGAGCTTGGTTCTGAACTAGATCAAGTTTAAATAATCGCTTTTAAGGCAATCCTGCATGCTTCGGAAGCTGTAGAGAGAATGTAAGGAATTCCTGCATACTACGGAAGCTGTAGAAAGTAGGATAGGTAATCCTACATGCTTCGGAAGATTTAGAGTGCGTAAGATAATCCTGCATGCTTCGGAAGCTGTGGAGGGAAGCATCTACTTAAGGCAGATCTCACCTGACGTGCACCTCCTGAGTGCTTGTGTCGGTCGTGTCGTCGGGCAGTTCTTTCAACTCGGGTTTCGCCTCCAACGGACTGGGGAGCTCCGCTGGGCTCAGAGATGACGTGTCGTTCTGGAATGAAGACAGCGTTTGTCTTTGAGAATCGTATGTCTACGGTTATTAGCGAAAATATTTGTAAGTAAAGAGGAGAAATGATTTGCTAAGATTCGTATTGTGGAGAAACATGGAAACAGACTACTTAACAATAAAAAAAGATACCGAAGCGTTGTCACCTCAGAGGACTGAGATGGAATGCATCACAGCGTGTAATCCATCTGGCTCTCTCCATCCTTCAGAAAGAGATATTATTATGTAGTGGCACTGTAGGATTACCCACAATATTTCATCTTACGTGGTTTTATATGTGGTAGAGCCATGGTGCAGTTGTGTTAGTAGTATAGTTGTAGCACGAATGGGTCGGCTCGACCAGGGAAGGACCACGCTTTCACAGAATACCAGCGTCAAATAGTACCTTAATGCTGCTATGTTTCGTATGGTGAGTGTAGAGTACCGGGTACCCTTTTTCCTGGAAATGAGGCATTCCATCTTAGTCGTCACGGCTGACAACCCACCTGCATTTTGATTCGTATTCGAGGATAGACGTAGATGTCTATGGGCCACAGCAGCCGCTCACCATCGGGTGGACTGTGTGCTCGTTTGTCACCCTACCCTATAAAAAGAAAAGTGGTAGATTAAACAATCCGGAAATTCTGGAATCATTGCGGTTCATCGTGCGCGCGTGGACCTACCAGTTGCTCGCACATATCTGTTAAAATACGCACCAGTTGTTCGCGCAGCTAGAGTGCTTAACGTCGTAGCACAACGACTGGACATATTTTACTTGTACATTGGCGGAATTCGAGAGGGTGACATTGATCTATTTGTCATTTTTACATTAGTGACCACATTGTTGCATTAGGCTCCACTCCTGTAATAACAAATGTGTTAGTAAATAAATAAATAAACATCGTTCCGTGGATGTCGTAAGAGGCGACAGGGGGAAAAACCCAAAAGATAGGTAGCTGCATCTTCCTTATTTTAAAAAAAAAAACTGTTGTTTGCCCACCCACCAGCCCAGCGGGGGAGCTATATCAGGCAACCTTATGGGGAGGCCTATGTTCAGTAGTGGACTTTAATAGGCTGTGACGGTAGACATATGGTTAGGGAGGAGGAAAAGGGGGAAAAGCAGACCGACGTATACAAACAAATTTTATTAAGATAGACAAAAAGTTCTTTTTTCTTTCTTTCTTTTAGGACTAGGCACTAGAATTTCTCCTGTATCATGGAAGAAGTTTACATACCTACATAAATTGCACAAGGATACACATCCAGAACCGGAAAAATTATTTGTAGGCCATACGAATGCTTTTTTCGTGTGGGATTCAAACCCGCGACCTTCAGTCTTTGCTAAGCGACTGCACTAAGGAACCGTCAAATCGTCCGCATATTACGAGTATATTATTGTGAGGGTTCTTAGAGGTGGGAAGACTTTTTGGCCGTGGCAGGAAAAGGGAAGATCTTCAGCCGGACAAGGTGTTCAGCCCGGGGAGCGTTCAACGCTCCGTGTGGTAACACAGAGCTACACTATATATATCGCAGTACTTCAGAATTTTGATAGCGCGATTTAGGCTTCAGTATGTTTCACTTATAGTGCGACGCGATATCACAGCGACCAGTTGGACGAAACTACTCACTTGCTCTGTTCGCGACATATCCGCGTCGTTGTCCAGCTCACCAGCCGGCTGCGTGGTGGACTCGCACTCGTCTGTAAACGTCACCATTAGTCAAACAACCGAGGTATGTCATTTGAACAAAATTACAGGAGCTTTCACTAAATTTATAGAAAAAAGGTGACAAACAAGTCCATCTAATAGTTAGTGAATACTGTGGCCCATATACACCTACATTTACCCTCTATTATGAAACAAAATGCAAATGCATTGTCATTCCTGAGGACTAAGGTAAATTGCTTTCCAATAAAAATGGTCTCCAGTTCTCTTTACTCATTATACGAAACAAAGCAGCATCAAGCTGTTATTTCAGCGAGTATTTTGTGAGACCATGATCCTGCCCTAGTCGAGCTGACCCATTTGCGCTACAAACATAATATAGCAAGCGTGGCTCTATCATATAGATACTCTAAGTCCTCCACCACACTCATCATCATCACCATCATCATCATTACAAGTCCAGTCGAGCTGATCCATTCGTGCTACAAACATAATATAGCAAGCGTGGCTCTATCATATAGATACTCTAAGTCCTCCACCACACTCATCATCATCAGCATCATCATCATTACAAGTCCAGTCGAGCTGATCCATTCGTGCTACAAACATAATATAGCAAGCGTAGCTCTATCATATAGATACTCTAAGTCCTCCACCACACTCATCATCATCACCATCATCATCATTACAAGTCCAGTCGAGCTGATCCATTCCTGCTACAAACATAATATATCAAGCGTAGCTCTATCATATAGATACTCTACGTTCTCCATCATACTCATCGTCATCATTACAAGTCCACTGCTGAACACAGGTCTCCCCCAAAGAATGCCTCAAAGCACGGTCCTGAGCCACCTGCATCCATCGACTTCCTGCATGTCTTACTAGGTCGTTATTACATCTAATGGGAGGCCGCGCTGTACTTGGATTACCAGTACGAGGTTGCTACTCGAGAACCTTTCCTCCACATCGGTTGTCGGTTCTTTCTGCTACAACCATAACAATCAACAAGGGAAAGATCTAGCTCTCACGGAAGACGAACATAAAATAGCAACAGAATGCTGGTGTGTTTGATACGGTGAACGACAACACATTACATCTTAGTCCTCAGAGGTGACAACGCATCGGCATTAGGATTCTCAATCGAGGATAGATGGTTCGACTCGACCTGGGAAGAACCACGCTCTCACAGAATACTAGCGTATTTCGTATGGTTACTGTAGTATAGAGAACTGGAGACCACTTTTACTGCTGGAAACGAAACACTCCATCTTAGCTACGCAAAGGTGACAACGCATCTGCATTTTGATTCTCAATCGATGATAGATAGACGTCTATGGGCCACACACAGCATCCCCTTAATATTATATAAAAAAACTTACCAGAAACCTCCTCCTCGGGTATAGCCCTCGCGGACTTGTCCTGCGCCCGCCTCCTGACCAGCTCGGCTATGACCCCGTGCAGCTCAGCCAGCCTCGCGTCGTGAGCTCTGGCTGCGCTGGCCGCCTTTTGCTTCTCTGCAGCCAGAGCTCTCGCCAAGGCGTCCCTTTCATTGCGGAGGGTCACCACATCTTCTTGACGGCTGCTTTGCGATGCTACCTGTAAAAAAGATTTTTTTCATTTAATTTGGTATATGGTGGGATCCTTTTTACTGCGTAGGAGCCTGGTCTGTGAGGTATAGAGAGGCAGTATAACTGCAGACTATGAGGCATTCTACCTTAGTCCTCAAGGATTACAACGCGCCAGGAGCTTTTATTTGAATGTGGTGGTGGGAAACATAGTGGACATATGTTTATGTCTTGCAGTAGACTTACCACCAGAATATAATCAAACTGAAAGTTCGTGTTGCAACTATAATATTGCAGCGTGGCTCTTACACGTGTGAATTAATTTTTTAAAAAAATTAATTCAATGAGTGATAGCGCTGAAGCAGATATATTCTTTAACATTATATTAAAGCGAATTCTAGCGACATTTTCTTACTTGTTACAAGGATACATAACTTACAAGTCTTATTTATACTAGTTTAAGTTGAAAGATAACTGTAGGCATGTGATTATCGTTTAAATTTGACCCGGGCCGCATTTATAGTATTGATGATTGCAATCACATTTTTGAATGATCCGGATCAAACAAACGATTGGCATGACCTATATATCCTGTGACCTATGATTGAATGTTTACAGGAATTGTAAATGCAACAAGTGTAAAATTAAAAACTAGTATTCATATAAAAAAAGGAATCATTAAAATCGATTCAACTAGGAGAAAGAGTTCACACATAAAGGTAAAACACATCAAAAAAAAAATCAAAGTAACTGAGAACCTCCTCCTTTATTGAAGTCGGTTTAAAAAATTGCGCGAAAGGGATTTTTTCTACTTCAACCGAACCGATTCATTTGTATGATCAACCCGACTCTGTTCATAGGACGAAGCAATACCTACTTGAACAATCGGGTAAAGCAACACGGGTCGCCGAAGAACTGGACAGCGGAACAATTATTTATAGGCCATACTAATACTTATTCCGTACAGGATTCGAACCCTTAGCGGCTCTTAGCACTACAACTCATTGCAAAGCCACGCGACAAGGAGTCGTCTTATCAATTAAAAGTGTTCATTCTTAGATAGCTTCACTACCACATATCGACCCGTCGGTGTCGTAAGGGTCGACAGAGGATAATTAGAACGGAAGATGGGCAGTATCATCTTCCTCATAACAACCCAAAATAATAATAGCCATGCTGCAGTTATATTAGTAGTATAGTTGTAGCACGATGAGTCGGCTCGACCGGAGAAGGACCACGCTCTCACAGAATACCAGCGTAAAATAACAGCTTAATGCTGCTGTGTTTCGTATGATGAGTGTAGAGAACCGGAGACCCTTTTTACTGGAAACGAGGCATTCCATCTCAATCCTCACGGGTGACAACGCATCTGCATTTTGATTCGTAATCAAGGATAGATGTAGATGTCTATGGGCCGCCCTTACCATCAGGTGGACTGTGTGCTCGTTTGTCACCCTATTCTATAAAAAAAACTGTGATTGCCAACGCGTCTGCCAAGTGTGGCAACTATGGCAAAATCCTCCCTATAAGGTCATCTATTTTGGAGGCCAAGAATATAATTACATTCAGCAGTAGAATTTTATAACGTGGTACGGCTGCATAGTCGCACTTTATGTTCTATCAGGAAGAAGCTGCTCATATTCAGGTTTGTTTCCCTCTGTGGCCTCTTACGACACCCACGGGATGATATGGGGTGGGGCATTCTCTCACCCAGCAACTATATATATATACGAGGCGATCGCTACCATGGTGTCTCATGTATAATTAACTTGGACTAGATTGTAAATTATTTATTATACCTTATTCTTTTTAAAAGATCTCGCTGGGTTTCTTGGTGATTCTGCCCAGGCCAGTGGTTTAATTCTAAACTATTGGTTTAACGATAAATTACTTATTAAGTAAGCATAACTTGCAATTATATTAAGGAAGAATTATTTTATTCTATTTTAGCAACATCTGCTTTTTAAGCACACAAGGTCAGGGCTATAGCCAAATTACGTATCGTCAGTCACCACCACCGCCCCATAAATATCTGCAATACCAGAGTAGTTGGAGCTGCCACACAGTGCGTAGTACGGCATGCATTACCAACCGGCATTAAGGACGCACCCGGACGCACGTTCGACTTCCAGTCTGAGTAGGGGGGTGATGTGGCGGCGCTGTCATCGCGTCCCAGACGAAACGTACCGAAACGTAAATCACGCTATCAAAGTTCCTAAGTACTGCGGTGTATATAGAATAGCTCCGAACTACCAAAAGGAGCACTTTCCCTTTTCCTTCCACGGCCAAACGTTTAAGGAAGGGATGCACACTTTCCTTAAAGACCTCTAAATGATGTCCTTATGCATCCCTTTAAGTCAATTAAGTCTAAAATAAGTTATTTATATTACGTACATTTGCATCATTTGGTACATACTACATACACACCGCACGCTATTATAATTAAAGGACGAATGGGACGGCTCATGAAATAGCAGTTTAATGCTGCTGTGCTTCGTATGGTGAGTGTAGAGATCCGGGGACCCTTTTTACTGGAAACGAGGCATTCCATCTTAGACCCCACGGGTGACAAAATATCTGCATTTTGATTCTTAATCGAGAATTCTTATCATCAGTTGAATTGTTACACCACCCCTTTTTCTTTTGTCACCTTAAATCTATAAATTAAAAAAAAATACGTGTGGCACTCGGTGACTGCCGCGGTAAAGCTATTGCATAGCATTTTTTATCAACTTATGCAATTATAATTATTTATTTATTTTATTCATGCAGTTAAGTCTTTGATATTAAATCAAGTTACACTTTTTGAGCGTGGTGACCGATAAGAAAACAATTTTTTTTCTCTTATTGAATAAATGAGAAGTTAATATTGTTTAAAATATTTTTAATATCTTACAATACATGTAGGTTATTCAGGAATTTTTATCATTGAGTTAGCAGCTAGTGTACACGCATACGTCTAGTCGCACGCACACAAACACCGTGCCGAAGTCTGCCGAGTGCCGAAGTCTGCCGAACTGAAACGACGTTAGACGATGCACGGCTTTCAACGCCACACCTCCGTGCCCGTCGGAGTGGGGAGCGTGAGGTTTTTTTTTCGTTACGGAATTTCTGGATTCGGTCCCCGCGCTCAAGGACCGCGATAGATAGACTATGCAATAGCTTAAAAATCTGACTTTCTAACTCCGTTTCAACATCTCAGAGAAATACTACTGTGAGACATACACCTGCAAAAAAACCTACTCGTTTGTGAGACCGGCAACGCACCTCCAATTCACCTGGTGTTGCAGATGTTCATGGGCGACGGTTACCACTTGCAACGGCGGTGACGGTGACCACTTGGTGAACGTAGGCCTCCCATAGATTGACTCATAGGGAGACATTCGCTACAGTTGCCACGCTTGACAAGTGCGTTGGGAACCGCAGTATTTTTTTATTTTTAGTCGTTAATATGAAGACGTCGCGGCTCATCCCCTAATTTGTTTTCCCCTATCGCCTCTTGAGACACCCACGGGATGATATGGGGTAGTGGATATTGTTACACGGCCACTATACGATAGAAAAACTAACAATATAATATAAAACAACAAACAACGCAATAAACGCTAGGAAGCCGGCAATAAAGCGCAGTCCGGCGCACATCAAAAGCGACATAAAACTATTTTCGAAGCTAGAATCCGGGACACTCCGTTCTAAAATTTAATATCGAATACTTGGTTGTGTGTGACAATCAGACACAAATGTTTTTTGCAGCCTAAGGTGGGTGGACCATGGAAGGCCATGCTCCTTCGAAAGACAATTATTAAAATGTCGTAGTTATTGCCATGTGATGACAAATTCCTTCTACTTACGCAAACACTCATCGAATTAAAAATCACAGACGCGGCGGCGAATCGCTCGCGTTACTATTTTGTCAGTACGGTCCCTCGCTTCATTGATTTCGGGAATAATTCAGGAATAAGGTGTAATTGGATACTGTGGCCTATACACATCCATATTTATCCTAATGCATATGCGTTGTCATCCCTGAGGACTAAGATGGAATGCCTCGATTCCAGTAAAAAAAGATTAAAGTAAAAACGATTCCGGTTCTCTACACTCACCATACAAAACATAGCAGCACTAAGCTCCTATTTTACGCTGGTATTTTATGAGAACATGGTTCTTCTGTGGTCGAGCCAACTCATTCGTACTACAACTACAATATAACTGCAGCGTGGCTCTACCACGTAAAAATCTAAATCTTTTAATCATGTTTCTTACACAATTAATCAACACAAAACAAAATAGAAATATAAGGTAAGGATCACCTCAGTCGCAGGGGTTATCATCCATGAATTCCCTAATATTATAATAACATTTTATATACAAACTTAGTTTAATAAAATTTTTGAACTTTGAGCAGGTAAACTTTTGTATCATATTTTTTGAGATTTCTTTTATTTTACCACGCAAAAATGATTATGAACGACATATCAACCATAGACAAAAATGACTTCTACACCTACCAGGTGTATACCATTCTGGCCAGGAGCTGGTGGCGCGGTGACAGGCCGCAGACTGGAGTACCTCCACGACGACTCCCTCGATATCTCCTCCTCCCCAACATTGGGGCAGCACAAGTACCAACTTCTACTCCTTCTCACTCCTGAACCAGAGTCTAGTTGTGTTAGAGGAAGTCTTCCAACAACTTCCAGCTCCGCGAGCAGGGGTTCCTTTTCTTTAGGCTCGGGCATGGGGAAGGTACCAGCTGTAGAATACGTCTCCTCCAGTTTTCTTTCGGGATTTGGCCTAGGGAAGTCCTGGCAATCCCTCCGGTCCCTCAACGGAGGCACTTCCGCCACCGGCCCGTCGTCGACCACCTCATTCGACTCTACGTAATCGCTCTGCTCGTTCTGGTTCGGGTTCGGCTCCTCGGTCGGATTTTGGGAATCCTGGCCGCCATTCTTCCTCTTCAGGCGCTCGAGGTCGGCGTAATAGTACGCCGTGGAGCGGGGCGGTTCGGCCGTGATGGTTCTCGTACCGGCCATTTTTATTTACCGTTTTTCGGTACGGTATACCGGTTAATTTTTACACTTACATAGTCAACTTGAGTTATAGTCTTGCCAACGTTGTTATTTTTGCTTGTGTGAATATTATAATGTTTATTTACCAATAATTAAACGTGCTACAAAGACCTTTTATAATAATTGGAAAAAGTTTAGTTAGTTTTTATAATTGAGTACCGTGAAAGACATATTGATAAAGGCCAAAAAAAAATGGTTGAAATAGTAACTAAAAAAAATCGATTGCGTAAAAAAAGTTTACTTAAAAGAGAAAACAATTATACCCCATGTCACTTATACAAAGCTAAATCTAATCCAACAACACCCCATATGTTAAAATCCATCAAGTCATTTGGACTGCAGGAACCCGGGTTCGATCACCATTGAAATTGTTATTTGCAATTTTAAGTGCCGATTTACCACGTGCTGAAACCGTCGTCCAACCTGCTTGTCTGAGAAATAAGAAAAAAAAAATATTTTGAAGACGTGACGTTCGCCCACACGCATTGGGGTAGTTCGGCGGAGGCTTCGTTGCCCTAAAACTTCTCAGAATTGAGGGGGAGGGCTGTGCCCAGCAGTGGGACATATATAAAAAAGTAAAGTAAAGTTACAGCTTATATAGGCTTATCTTTCCGTCCAAATACAATCTGGACGTCTTCAAGGCTAGAGTGAATAGGCTTTTGTTACGCTAAGACAGTGCGATTTACCATCTAAAGCTGCATCATCACATACCACCAGGTGGGAGTGTGGTCAAGTATTGGCTAGTAAAGTAAAGTTACAGCCAATATACGTCCCACTGCTGGGCACAGGCCTCCCCTCATTTTCTGAGAGGGTTTTAGGGCAAGGAAGCGTCCGCCGCGCTGCCCCAATCCCCCAATGCGTGTTGGCGAACTTTACAATTCTTCGAAATATTTCTTTTTCTTATTTCTCAGGCATGCAGGTTTCCTTACGATGTTTTCCTTCACCGCCGAGCACGTGGTAAATCAGCACTTAAAATTACTATTAACAATTTCATTAGTGCCGGCGGGGATTGAACCCGCGTTGCTTGAGTACTGTGAAATCTACAGCGGGCGCTTATCCTCCGAGCTGCCACGACTCTTTTTAATAATTATCAGTCGAGTGGTAATTAAAGTGGAATCTAGGTTTTGCAATAAGCCAAATGACTCACAAGTCACAGCATGGAGGTCAGTTGGTACAGTAACTTGGTATTTTTAGCATAACCGGAATACAAATTAGTTGACTCAAACGTCTGGAATTAAAAGGAAAATATTATTTATTGGGATAAATTCAAAAATGTAACTTGCCAGGAAAACGGGAACGTAAAATAATTTTTACGTTACCGTAAACAGAAGAACCGCAAACTCAAAGGTCGTGGGGTTCGAATCCGCCACCCGACTACTGTCGTGAACCACTCCTAACAGCTTAGGAGTGGTTACAGGGAACATTAGTGATGTAAATAGTATTGCCAGTATTTTTTTTTTCAATTAAATTAGTACTTGAAGACAAATTATTAGTCGTGGTATCATAACTGGCGGACTTGTACTGTGAAATTTAATTTGATATTTAATGTGATAATTAATTTATAAAGTTGACCTTGTGTATTTAATAGTAAATTTTATTTGACATTAATTTAATAATTATTTAGACATTGATATATATAATGATCTCAATTTACTGATTTATATAGGACACTATAAAATTCACTATTGTAACACCGTGTATCCTACCTACCTCCCCATATTGCGCAAATAAAAAATAAAAAAAATCTTAATTAATACGTGTGACAGAAGTCGATGTCAATACGATTAGCCCGCTCTAATAAATATGTTTTGCCTGTGTATACAATCATTAAACATATGTTAATCATGAATGATTCATTTGATCTGGGTTGTATCACACATTACATATTGGTGATTTCAATCACATATTTTGAACGTTCCGTATCAAACTATTAACAAGACCTACGACCAGAGTTATAGTAATGTCCGACGACAGACATTATTATATCAAGACGGCTCTCACAGATCACAGAGTACTGAAAGTCGAACTGATTCATTTGAATGATCGACCCGAATGAACCGGTTCGTAAGATCAATGCTTAAATGATCGGGTCAGTAGAAATGAATGAATAATACAATAACATATGTCTATGATACATCACGTAACCAATAGCTGACTCTAGCTACTAGGCACTGCCTAGTGCTTATGTATCATATAGGTCTTGTGGTTGCTTAACTAACTTGATCACTTAGACGTGTTGGCAATCGCAGTTTTTTTAATGTTACTGAACTGTTATTAGTGGTGTTGGCAGTAGTGGTGCAGGGATTACTGGTGACAGGGATGGTGCACACAACTGAGGGAGAGCGGGAGTTGTTCTTCAATTAAGTAAGACACGCTATTTTATTTTATCACGCGGATCTTAGCTAATTAGTTTTTAACGTCTTTATCATAATGGATTTCCGCAAAGTAACGCCAGACTATCAATCAAATTTAAAAAAAAAATTGTCCTTGTAGATTCGTTGCGTTCTAAAACGTTTTTCTACATAGCTTCAAGTCCTGACCAGCTACGGATCAAACCTGCTATTACTTAATGTTAATGAAATAATTGAGTGCAGATGACGCCATCTTGTTAGCTGACGGAAGGTAATCGACGCACGTAATGCGAGGCCGCGGCGGCGCTCGAACACGTGGGGTTTCAGCTCAGTGCGAAAGCGCAGCGATTCGACGATTGGAGACGAAACGTGAGATAAAGTCAGGGACGTTGGCTCCGAATCAATCGAAGTTTAATAAAATGTACGAAATACAATAAAAACCGACAGCCACTGCGAAAAGATGTTGCTTCTCTCTGCGAATTACCACCACATTTCCATACCACGTGCAGTGCTCTGAGACATTGTTCGGACTAATTCCAGCCGCACAATTTCACCATCGCACATCGCGATAAAACTCGCGATACCTTCCATACCATCTGGATGACCGGTGGTTCACCACTGTGCGATTTAAAAGAAGTTTTTTTCCTCGCACAACTTCCTTGTGGAATCGACTACCACACCAGAGATTTTTCTGGAACGATATTTAAAAGGCCGGCAACGCATCTGCAATTCCCTGATGCTGCAGTTGCTCATGGGCGGCGGTAATCACTTACCATCAGGTGAGCCGTGTGCTCGCTTGCCCCCTCTCCTATAAAAAAGTCATCATTACCTCCATAGGGGGAATGGGGGCTTTTCCCTAGTTTCCACGATGGCAGGCAGGGTGACAACCGTGTTTTTAATTATTTTTAGGTGTTATCGGGAAGATGCTGCTGCCCATCTTCGGTTTCAGATTCCATCTGGCGCCTCTTACGACACCCACGGGACGATAGGGTGTAGTGGATTTTATTACCGCGCTTTTTCACCCCTACACGGTTAAAAATATATGTCTAATAGTCTATGAACGTCCTACAGCTGTACACGCTTTAATTCCTCCATCTCCATTGCACCATCGGACAACCAGGCGGTCGGCGGGTCTTCACCACTTTTTCACTTTGTCGTCGATATTCCACGCATTAGAACCAAACGGTTTGCTTCGTCTTTTGTAATGAGTACAGTAATGGAGTGTAATAATTTGCCGGCGTCTATCTTTCCGTCCGAATACAATCTGGGCGTCTTCAAGGCAAGAGTGAATAGGCTTTTGTTACGCTAAGACAGTGCGATTTACCATCTAAAGCTGCATCGTCACTTACCACCAGGTGGGAGTGTGGTCAAGTACTGGCTAGTAAAGTAAAGTTACAGCCTATATACGTCCCACTGCTGGGCAGAGGCCTCCCCTAATTTCTGAGAGGGTTTTAGGACAAGGTGTCCGCCACGCTGCCCCAATGCATGTTGGCGAACTTCACATGTCTTCGAAATATTTTTTTTTCTTATTCCTCAGACATGCAGGTTTCCTCACGATGTGTTCCTTCGCCGCCAAGCACGTGTAAATCAGCACTTAAAATTGCCATTAACAATTTCATTGGTGCCGGCGGGGATCGAACCCGGGTTACTCGCGTTCTGTTATATTTACAGCGAGCGTTAACCATCTGAGTTACCACGGCTCTACCAAGTACTAGCTTATAGTAAGTTAAAACAAATGTCTGTGTACGTCACAGAGTCCTGCGTACAGGTCTCATGTCGCTCCTCAGAGTGATTCACAACAGGTTTGAATCCGCGGTGTTGCCGCTATGCGTGCTAGCAGATTTCACACGTTACAGTTAACAGTTTTGCTGTCTCGCGTGACTCATATGTTATAAACAATTCATTTGTTTAACCTATTGTGTCTGTCTCTCGGACAGGGAAACTGTTAAAAAATTCATCAGTTAAATTCCGCGCAGTGTTTTAGCATGCCGTATACATACAAGTATTAGAATGCCGAAATAACAGCTTACTAAGTGCGTATGAAAGTAAATATGGTATATATCTATTTGTTCCAGCTAATCGTTGAAGTGGCTGGACCTAGACCGATTTTGACGGGACTTTCACTGGCAGATAGCTAATGTTATAAGAAGTAACTTAGGCTACATTTGCTTTAGATTTTTACAACATTTGTTAACTAATCAAGTTAACAAAATTGTAAAACTATAAAGGAGTCACAGCCTGTGTACATACTACATATCCACGGCTGAGTACAGCCCCCCCCCCCCCCCAAACCTTATTACTGAGTTTTTTAACTTCCCGCTAAGAAAATTAATTTTTTTTAAAAATAGAGAAGTTATTAGTTTCAGGCCGATTTTCGAAAATTGAGATTTCTTCAGATCGGTTTATTTGTATGGGCTTATCTTCGGAATGACCGATTCAATTGCAATGAAGTATCACGAACGGATAGAGATCAAAACCAGGGAGCACAGATAGAGCGAGCTGTATTTTATTAACAAAATTATAACATAACCGTTGTGTGTGTGTGTGTGTGTGTGTGTGTGTGTGTGTGTGTGTGTGTGTGTGTGTGTGTGTGTGTGTGTGTGTGTGTGTGTG